TTGACAGTGGAACCTCTACACCTAAGGCTCATGAAACATAGCTCACCATGGGGTAGAGAGACTAGTAACGCATCCCTCAACTCTCACCAGTGAAGCAACATGCAACAGAGTAGAATTCACACAGAAGACCACAACTGGCCAATCCTAGAGCGGACACTATGGGGGGATGCAGTTGAGGGAGGATGTCTAAATATGATTAAGATTTATTGTATAAAATGCACAAAAATTCAATAAAATATATTTTAATAAAAGAGAAATAGTTGGAAATGTACAGAAATGTAAATTGAAGTCACTAAAGGCAAAACCAATTTCCTATTAAATTGAAGAACATGGTAAATATGGCATAGCTCACCTTTGGCAGAACTTTGTGGCATAGACTCATTATTAATGGTATGAGAAATGACGGCTTACACTGTTTCTGGTAATATTGGGGATTGAACCCAGGACCTCATGCATGGGAGACAGACACTCTATTCATATCCCTAGCCCCTGCTGCTGCTGACATCTATTTCATGAAGGAGCTATGGCCAAATCATAAATCATAAAATCATTACAACAAGCATGCCCTCTATGCCAGCCTTATACTCTGGGAAATTTATACCATTGAGGCACTTGGAAATGGGGAAAAAATTCTCCTGTACAAAGATGTTTAGCATAGCATTACATATTAACCTTAAAACTTGGAAACAGCTCATATGTTCAATGCTCAATTATTTGGAAAAAGCTACAAAAGTGATAAATTAATATGATAGAATATATATGTATATACATGCCCACCTATATAGTTCTTAGATGAACCAATATGAAGAATTTATATAACTATAAAAAGAAGTAAATGAGGTAAAAAGCAAAAACAATGTACATATCCACTGAAAGTTTATCTTTCAGGGCAGAAGTCCTGTTATTTGATTGTGCAGCAGTGATCTATGGAACTTGTGAGCCTAGGGAGTTTAGAATGGCATCTGGAATGTGTGTTCTGAATGTCGCATTTAAAGAAAACTCCTCAAGTCATGCTAATGTGGATTACCGCTAGAAAACACTTTGGTAAACTTCTTCGCTGTATGCTGGGAATATTCCTAGTTTGTTTTCTGTGCCCATATTTTTATATGCACAATAAAATATTCAAGAGAACATTTTCAAGTACTCAGTAGGCTCTCCTCATTAATAATAAATATTTCTGGTTATACTTGCGAAGCTGACAAATTCCATATATATATATATATATATATACATATACATATTATATATTGTATATACATATAGTGATTTCTCCCATAAAATCAAAATTTTTTAAGCAGAGTATGAAGCTAGTTGAGATGTGGGCATGCAGGCAATAGGTTTGTCTCAACCAACAGGAGAATATTCAGTGCCTGCCACCTACTCCTCAAATTCCACAGCCAGCAACAAGATCAGTAAGCAACCCAGAGTGTTCACCACCCTACCAAGCTCCAGCAGAACTCATACAGATCTCTTCCTCCTTAACATGCATGCTTTCTTCACTTGGCTTCCAGGATACCACCCAAGAACAACTTGGTCCTCCTTGCTCTTCTGCCCAGCCCCTCTTGCAGCCCATGGCCATATTCTCCTATCTAGCTGTGTTTCCTTCTAGTGATTTCAAAAATCTCACAGCATAAACTATCACCTATGTGATATAGATTCTCCCACTTAGGCCCCCCTAAAGTCCAAACTTCTAATGTCCAGCACTTATTTGATTCCACTCAAATGTCTAGTGGCCTTCAGAGACCCAAAATATTCAAAAGTAAGCAATTTTCATCTCCAAATCTTGCCCTAGCAGACTTTCCCATGTCAGGTAATGACAATTCCACTCTTGAAGTTGCTCAGGCCATAAACTGCAGTGTCACCCTTGACTCTTCATTCTCTCTCTCCTTCATCATAAAATCCTGCTGGTTCTCCCTTCAAAATGAATCCTAAGTAGAACCCTTGTCTCCGGCTCTACAGGGTGCCTGCAGGAGCTTTCTCTCTTACCTCCCTCTGTGCTAACTGGCTCTCCATGTGTCTGTTCACTCCACAACACATAAGGTGATCCTTTCAAGACCTAAATTAAATTGTGAAATTCATTTGCTCAAGTCCTTTAATAACTTTCATCTGACTCAAAGCAAAAGCTTAAGCTCTCCCCGTGCCATGGAACAGATCCCTCATCTGGCCTGTGACCTCAATTTCTATTCTCTCCAACACTCCATGTCAGTTCCACTGGCTTTCATGGTATTCCTCAAAACACAGAGCATCTCCTGCATTACAGTCTTTGTAATCACAGCTTCCTCTTTCTGGAATGACTTGCATTTCATCAGATGTCCTCGTAGTAACCCTATAGTCTTTGTTTAATCTGGTATCTCCTATAGTCTTTGTTTAAATGTCTCCTTCTGAATGAGGTGACTACTAGATTAAAACTGTATCAAGCCACACCGACCTCTAGAAACCTAGCCCTTCTTACTCTGTCCCTGACCTTCAACACAAAATAGCACATACTCATTTACTGAACTTGTCTATTGTGTCTTCTCACTTTGGTGAGCAGAGCAAAGGAACATTTTGCTGTTGTTCCTTTTTCTTATATCACAAGGGCCCAGAATAGAGTCTAACATATCGTATCACTGTCATACACACAGTTGCTAATGAATGAAACCACAAACGTCAGTCACATAATGTCAAGGTTCTGTTGACAATAGTAATTTCATATATTGATTTCATTGGTACTTAGATGTACCTTTTGGTTAGCATTTTTCAACCACAGATGAAATCTGGTATCATTTTTTTTTCCACTAAGGAACATATTAGCATTAGCATCTGGGGAAGGAAACTGAACATTTCTGCCTCAAACTATAGTCTAAGTAGAAAGAAGGTCTCATTTGAATGCTCATAGGAGGCAAAACTTTGGGTCCCATCCTTTAAAAGACCAGACATGAACTAACTCTTGCACTCCAGGAAACTTTCTCCACATGCCCCACCAGGGACTCTAGGAAGATCACAGGGGATATAGTCAGTTCTGAATCTTAGGCATCCCGGTTACATCTTAAAAAGATATAAAAGAAGCTGGGAAAACATTAGGCTATTGTTCTTATTCTCAGTCTTTCTTCATATCTTGGCATCACACCATGATTAAATATTGTTGCATTACTCAAGCTACATCCTTTTCTGCCCTAAGAGTCGCATTAGTACCATATCCCCAACACCTGCACAGGACCTCACTGTACGTGGTAATTCTTCTATAGATCTTTGAATAATCAATGAATGGTTTACAGTTTAATAAGGTCAGAGATTCTTTACAAATAAAGAGAACTTAATGAATTATCAATGCAGCTTGGAGTCAATACAAATATTAATAAGTCACCATAAGGATGCAATTATGTACAAAAAAATGAAGGAAGATCCCATATTTTCATTTTTTTGTCAGCCAGAAAAGAGATAGCTTCTCTTCTAGCTATTTATCCATCCTCAGATCAATCCTAGGGGTTAAAAACTCCACATAAGGCACCCTCACATAGGGTATTTAGAGTACTAACAAGAAGACTTAGATTAGGTTTGAGTACCAATTCAATATAGTTGCATAACTTTTAACAAAGTCAGGTTTCCAAATCTCATGTTTTTGATGTGTACAATGGGACAAATGGTATTTTCTTTGTTTTCCTTTAGAATACTATTATAAAGGCAGAATGAGAGTAGGACTATAAAACTTCAGCAAATAAAGACAGATTTTATGATCATGCATTGTCTATTACCCCTTAGTGTTCAGTCACCCAAAAAACACAGTAGCTGAAGTAACTGACATTATGTTTCCATTCACGACAAAAACTCTTCAGAAACTCAACAATGAATGTCTTTGCCATTTGCCCCAATCTTCCTGCATTAACAACTTTGGAAGTTAACTAAAGAGTGATATGATTCATTAATTAAGAAATGAGGTCTTGTTATATTGCCCAGTCTGGTCTAGAACTCTTGGGTTCAAGTAATCCTCCTATCTCAGCTTCCCACAGAACTGCAATTACAGGTACAATCACTGCACCTCACTCAAGCTTTGATTTAGTATTTTCTGTACTTAGAACCATTTTCCCTCTCATTATCAAATGGAGCTCATGTGTAACATGAATTTAGGAATGCCCAATCCAATTTTATAACTATTTGGTATCAATGCCTAAATGAATGCATGTTTCCTGACTTGGCCTTGCAGATCCAGGCTCCCTGATTTTTTTCTCCATGAATCACAGGAGGTCATTTCCAGATTTCACTCTAGAGCTGCTGTCTCTTTTGGTTCTTTGTCTTGTGATTTCCTTCTACAGCCCTTCTTAGCTGTTTTGACATCTCTCATCATTTTCCTACTTCAGAAATAGATAAGAAAAAAAAAATCCACTGGGGTTACTGGAGAATGTATTCCTAACAGGACAATTTCAACACTGCTCAACACAGTTGCAGCTGGAACACAATTCTTAGGAACTACAATGCAATTATCACATTTCAAATGAACGTTAACCTTAAGGAAAATCAACAAAATGAGGACAGTCCAACAAGGTACACAGTGGCGATGGCGGTGACCAGAGCAACTTAGACGTGCACAATTATTCTAGAAATCCTCAGTAAATGTTCATGTTGTGAAATTGTTTTTTAAAAATTATAGACATACACAGGTGCCAAGGATCCAAGTGCAACCGATTATGACTAGTAATATTCAGATACATACAGATTAGAGATGCATGCGCCAACATCTCAGTGTTCACAAAAACAATGAGTCTTTCTGCAAGGAACAATATATTCTAAAATAAAATGGAGATCTTTTTTAAAGGGTAAAAATTCATTCAATTTTATATCTTACAAGGTTTATACTGAGTTCAATATTGTATGACTGTATTAATTCAACTGTAAACCTAAAAATTTACAGCCAATTTTGAAAGAGATGCATCTTAGCTCTGGAAATCGTTATTGAATATGTCAGTGCTGTTGTAATGAAATGCTTCTTCTAAAAAAAAATTATGACAAAGCTACTCTCTTACCTGACTGATGTCGCTCATCCAGGCAGCTTTCTCCTGGCGTGAAGGTGCTAACAAGACCACAGTGAAAGGGGCAGCATCAGGAGGCTCCACTACTATTTTAAAATCCAGATGTCCAAACATGTGGCCAGAACCTTTGGCTTCCACGCACATAAACCAAACAATTACGTGTGAATGCAAAAGATGAACAAACACTGCTCTCACATAGATCTATTAATATGACCTGCGTGTGCATTCAGGTCTAGACTCTCATTTCAGCAATAATGTGCTTCCTGAGCATGCAGAAGTCCTTATTAAGCTCATAAGCTGATGGAGAAGCTGAGGTCAGTAGGTTACTCTAAACTAAGATCCCAAACTCCTCAATTCATATTCATTTTAATTTCCATTAATATATAGAAATCCTTGTTTAATCAAAATCTTCATTCTTCTATGCCTGCCCCGAAAAGTCACTATCATGAAGCAAACAGTTAAATGCAAATTCTTAAAGGTGGTTTAACAAGGTTGATAGGTTAAATGGTCCAACAGATAAATGACTTTAGGGAGTTTACCCTCAGCATCTATTTTACTTCTACAGGCAACTCCTCTTGACTCTAAAAGATTAAAACCCATGGAACTTTACTATATGATACTAGTACTGTTTCAAGTTATGGAATGTGACTTACAGTCATCATCACTTGCATCAGGCTCCTCAATCAATGTACATTCTATGAGGGACAGAACCCCACCTGTCTGGAAACAAACAGGTTTGTGGTTAAGAGGTTGATGGTGTTGTGTAAGCTGGGAAATTCTGCTTTGTAAACTTTATATTCAAATTGCCCCAAAAGGTGGTGTAGCAATTCTGCACCATACATAATTTTTCATGGAGTCCAAAATTAAACAGATGAAGCAAATGAACTGAAATCATTTAACATTATTTAAATTCTTCCTCATACCCCACTCTTGCCCCCATTGTTTGTAGAATTTATTAAAATCACAGTGACTTCAGAGGGTAGCTACAGCCCCGAGTAGGCCAACCAGGAAGTGGCTTAGACAACAGAAAGCCATTGTCAGGGCATGAATATTATTTTTAAATTGTTGTTATATTATATGTGTGTGTGTGTGTGTGTGTGTGTGTGTGTGTGTGTGTGTGTGTGTGTGTGTGTGTACGTGAACACATAAGGAAATCAGTTCTCTCCTTCTACCATGTGAGTCCTGGGAACTGAACTCAGCTCATCAGGTTTGGCCTTTACCTGCTGAGCCATCTCACCAGCCCAGTGAATGATGCTTTTAAACAACAGAAAGTACATACAGATCAGCAAACATTTTCTGTAAAAGGTTAAATAAGAAATCTTTTAGGATTTTTCAGGCCATATAATTTTTATTGTGACTACCCAGATCTGCCATTTCACCATGAAAGCAGCCACAAATAATACGTAAATACATGTGTGGCTGTGTGCAAACAAAAATTTATCAATAAGAACAAGCGGCAAGCTGCCTGCTACAGTTTGCCAACTCCTGATACACAGTGAGATAAAATACCAGTTAGCAAATATTTCATCAATATGCTGTAGTGATTGGACACAATATCTATGGCTCTGTAGTCATCAACTAGTCTTAATTTTGTCTACCTTATGATTTTAATTGGACCTCTTTTTGATGATATACACTTAAAATAAATGTCTACTGCTTTGAATCCAAATGACAACAAAGTAAATGCCCAAGTGGTTAGCCACACACTACCTCCCTCTGTGCAATCATAGCAATCTGTTTTATGACAATAGCAGGCATCAGAAAGTCAGAACAGAATTAACCTCAATATCTCTTAAGTGCTGGAAACACAAATAAAACAGCCATGGGAAACCATACCTTGAGCAGATGCAGCTTTCCTCCTGAACTTCTTGTACAAATTAAAAAATGTTTTGTAAATAAGAAGCACTGTCTCTCTCCTTCCTTTTTCAAAGACAGTGAGCCCAGGCGAACTTTACTAAGTTTGCCCCTCTCAACAGAAGGTACTTGAATAAGAGAACCTGGTGATTACAAAAGTAAAGAATGGATAGCAATTAAAATCCTAGTAAGTGAGGACCATGCCCTTGGCAATAGATACAAGGATCTGCTTCTCAAATATCAAGAATGTATTTGGTGTGCCATTGGAACAAATAAATCTCCTACACTCTGAGCAGAAGAAACAATGCACTGTATTTTAAGGGAGAAATTGTTCCTAGTATTGCTGTGAAACAATTTCAACTTAATTCTTCACCTATAGACTAGAATATAAATTTGAAGGAAAGTCAAACTAAATTCAAAGAATGAGGTATTATGTCATCTGTTCTTGGTGATTTGGTGTAGTCAATTTATTCTTAATAATATATAAATCATATTATTATAGATAGTTATATTATATTTTGATAAACATATATCAAATTTATTCTTTCTGAAGCAACTAAAATAAATAGCATACTCACAGTTTATTTTGTATTTTAAAATAGAAGGTATAATACATATGTATCATAAAAATACATAAATTATATGTCAATGCAATTTAATTGAGGAACTATTTTAAAGGAAAGCTAAAAGCTATTTCAAATTGTATTTAAAAAGTTTGATACAATGAGCCCCATTATTCTGTACAATTAATATATGCTAATAGAAAAGAAGATGCAAATAAGTGTGATTAAAAAGCAGTTTGGAGGCTGACTGGAAAGTAAGCCACATAAAACTCTACCCAGAGCACTCATGTGAGCAAAACTATATTCAATTAAATGTGAAACACGATGCAAAAACTTTATATAACACTGAGATTACCCCTGATTATTTATATAATATATTATAAGAAGAATCTCCCCAGTCGTAAAAAGATAATTTCAGTCTAAGTTAAATATCAACCCCCAGTGTCAAGATTCTTTCAAGTGACTTGGCTCTGACTTGTAAAATCCCTGAAGCCAGGAATTCTTCTTTAATCTATCACCTACCCCAAGTGCAGTCCTACATGGGCTCCTATCAGTCCATAATAGCCCTGAGGTAGGGCCGGATGTGGTAGTGTACACCTTTAATCCCAGCACTCAGGAGGCAAAGGCACAGGAGGTGTCTATAAGTTCGAGGCCAGCCTGGTCTACACAGCGAATTCCAGGCCGGCAAGTACATATTCAATCCTTAAATATTATCAGTGACATCACTCAGAGAAAAGACTGCAGGCAATCTTATTTTCTCTTTATGTTTTATGAGTTTCTTAATTTTTTTTAAGGAGCACAGATTAGTTCTGTAAGTGGAAAAAATACCAAGGTTCTTAATATAAAGAAATGTATATCTAAGACAATAAAACTATGATTGTGAGTCATAAAAATCATCAGTTTAACATTAACATATGAATGTTCCAAATTGCATCTTCCCTAACAGAGTTGGAAAGATGTACAGGACCCAAGTTTCCATGCCCTGATCTCACATCTTCTATTTAGGTGAGTGACTAGGTGGGATGCTTGACAGACAGAAAGTAGGCAGCTCTTCTGGGCTTAAAGAATAGCAAGGAATCAGTCCTGGGGGAGGGAGTAGGTGTGGGAAACAAAGGACCAGGAGAAGGCCTGACTCCAGGCAAGGGGCTGGGCAGGGGGAGAGTAAATGCAGGAGGTGAGGTGGTGGGAGTAAACTGGCAGACAGCTCATGTAGCAAGAATTCAATTTTTAAAGTAGAGGAGGTGTGGAGAAAGCAGAAGCCAGCAAGGTTAGAGATGAGTAAGACATGACAGCAAAAGGTTTCCACTCATGAGATTCATGGAGACAAATCAAATCCCCTTCTACATTTTACAGATGGGGAAACCGAGGCCTGAGTTAAGCAGCTCTCCTAAGGGCACACATAAGTGGAGGGGGTACAGTTAGACAATGGCCATGGATTTAACAATGTAGAACTGGAGCTTGTAAAGCAAAGGGACAGGTTACAAAGAGGCCATGGGCTCTATCCATGCCCTGGGTGGTCTGCCTCATGCAAGGTAGATTAGTTGGGGCTAGTTAGGCTTAGATAAGAGTTTAGTCAGAGCTAGTAGAATAGGGAGCTTAGATAAGTGTTTAATGGGTTAGGGAGTCATTTTCAGAAAATCTGTAATCGAGTCTGTGAAAAGTTTATAATAATGTGCTCATTGGTAAGTGATTTTAGCAATGTAGTAATTTTCTAAGTAAGAAATTATAAAATTCATGGTTAGTGCATATATTAGCAATTATTGTAAATTTCAGCTTTGAGGTTAAAAATGTTTCCTTGGCAACCATACACTTATATGCTTAATAACTGTTCAGCTCACATCCACATATGAGACTATATACATTAAGATAGGCAGACATCTATACAACTAAACTAAAAGTGAGAAGTTTCAAGACAATTTGGTTTATAAAATGTTTCGAAAGTGAAAAAATGTGAAAAGTCATTTTTCACATTTCATCTTAGGTTTGACATATTTCAACATAGCCATGTGACTTTAAGAAAATATTTCTCTCTAGTTAATGCAAATTAGAGAAATGATTAGTGATTTCTGCATCAGACCATTGCTATGGCACCGTCCTTAGCATCCTGATCATTGGCTTACCTAATAATCAAGGTCAACTTGCAGCAAGACTTGTGCTGCTTCAATCACTAAATTCCCACAGAACGGCTTCAAGACTGAATGATGCTCTAATTTTAAGTTCTGCTCAGCAGTGAACATATGAGCAGTCATCTCCAAGCCACTGAGTCAAGCTGAGATGGCAGGATGTTCTCTGTGCTACAACCCCAGAAAACACTGGTAGGCTGAGCACACATTGTTTAAGAGTTTAGGATGATGAAGGTCCCAGAGAAATCCACACTCATTCATACAGCATCTTGCTCAGTATTCAGTCACCTTTATTTAATTTTCCTGATTTACACTTCCACAGGGACAATATTGGCAATTCATAATGGATTTGTATAAAATGTAAATTTATAGTGCCTTTGCATTACAGCCAATATCCCTATATATTTCAAGTTATTGAACAAGAAGTTCATTCCAATGTTTAGGTGCTGGTCTTTAAAATTAGTATTAATCTTGAAGACACCAGTCTAGATGCTTTTGTGAGCATAACTCTTAGTCTTCACAACAATCCCAAAAGATAGGTACTGCTTCTAACTCCAACTGATGGAGAGCAAACGGGGAAGCGAGGTTAGGCAAATTGCTGATATCACCCAGCATGGAAGCAGGAGGCACGATTGGATCTGTAGTCACCTGGCCTCACTGGCTTTCTCTTGCTGCATCAGATACACATTCATTCAGCAATGTTGCTATTAGATTTGGGAAAGTAAATGGCATTATCAGACCACTGCTGTGATATAATCCTTTGCCTCCTATTCATCAAACTATACCACCCAATAATCGGAATGAAACACTTATTTCAATCACTACGTTCCATCATATGACACTCAGGAGTGAATGAAGCCCTTACTTTTGCAGGACATGGATGATTTATGTATTCTGTTCCTCAGGATAAAAATTCACAAAAGGTTAAAAGTACATTTGTACACATAAGCACATACACACAGAAATAGACCTTATATCACCCATAAAACTAACTAGTAAAAAACTGGAGAGATGGATCCGCAGTTAAGAGCACACTGACTGCTCTTACAGAGGACTCGGGTTCAATTCCCAGCACCTACACGGTAGCTAACAACCATCTGCAACTCTAGTTCCAGGGGATCCAATGCCTTCTTCTGACCTTAGAAAGTATTGCAAGACATGGGTGCACTTACATGCATGCAGGCAATACAGTCACACACATAAAATAAAAATAATAAAATAAAAATAATAAAAGGTAACTAATAAAAATACTAGAACACCATTAGAAATAAATGGCAGTCAATCTCATAGAAAATAAAAACTCTTGAAATTTTAATGATTAATAATTTTTAAAAATAAATGTATTTCATGGGTGTTAAAGCCTGCTAAGAGTATTTAGAAAAGGTGATAAGAGAAGAAATTAAAGAAAAACAGTGCAAAGTTTCCCATTGTAATTGATCACTTCTACTTTCAGATTAAGGTCTGATGTTTGGAAACCACCTTTATTGAACAACTCATAAATAGAGTAACCAGATCAAACATAAAACTGCTGAAAGGGAAATTATCACACTGATGTTGATATAACAGTAACATCTAGGATAATAATCGCTGACAGGCTGCCTTAACTGCATGGTACATAACATTAAATAACATATGGATGTGGCTTCAAGGGACAAGCGGTACGATTTTTTTTTTTTTTCTTCAAGTACAATGAAAAAAATGTGACTTATTCAATACATTTGATCTTCAAGGATTTTTCATTCTTTGTGCTTTTAAGCTCACAACAAATCTGTTTTTAGAAATACATTGAGCGCTTATGGGTAATGATACTGTTCAATCAAAAGTCCTTTCAGAAATTATATGGCAGTTATAGGACATTTTCTTTCCATTCATACATGTAAAGTTACAGACCAATTAATGAGCCTTTTTAGTGGACTCCAAATATAAGAAAAATACAAAATAAATATCTCACAATCACAATTGCTATCAATAAATAATATCTTCAATGAACTTTTTTCCAAATATTTTTAATACTAGACAAGGCAAGGCAAAGAGATTTCAGGAATACTGTCCTTCAAAGCTTGCAACTACTGAGAAAGGGAGTCATGCAGACAGGTACCTGCACACAGGACAAAACCCACGAACCATGACCAAAGGGCTTTGGAAATGGAGAGAAAGTTTAATTCATTGTAACTGATAGGATGGGCAGAAAGGTAAGGAAATTTCAAAAGTCTCGTGTGACCCTAACCTGAGGGTCAAGCAGACCTCTCATAGGCCAAAGAAGGAAGAATAGGGCCTTCCCAATCAATCTCAGGCAGAGGACTGCACAAGTGAAGGCACAGGCCAGGAAATGTGCCTAGAGGCAGAAAGCCACTATAGGGACACAGCCCACACAGAAAGGAGGGCAACCATAAAGGCCTGATGTTCTTAACATTAGATTCTGCCATGATCTAAAGAAACGTTAGTATTCAAAGTCAAAAAATGGGGGAAGTAATATTTTCCTAAAATATACTTCCGAACTTTAACATATGTGTCATGTCTCTCCTTGTAAATACATAACAGAAAATAGAATGATGTGCTGAACATTTTAATTATTCCAGGCAAAATTAATGTATACTGCACAATGTCTTATTTGATGAGGTAAAAAACATATTTTTAAGCAGCATATTATGGTAGGAAACAGCAATACCTTCAAACGATATTGGCACATTATAGCCAGAAGCAGCATTAATGATTAATTCAAGGTCCAAGTTTATACTCCAACCCTCACCAATTTCAAAACTACAAATATATGCAATAGAGCATATCGATTGCTCAGACCCTGGGTATGGAGCATGTCCTCCTCCCCAAGATACACAAGCACTTGAAAAAAAACATCTTAGGATGTGGTTGACTTCTTACACTTTGAGATAAGAACCAAAGATGGATATCCACCACCAGGTTGTTCATCTCCAAACTTTCTGATACTTCATCTCTTCAAAAGCTTAATTAATGGAGTGATGCCCACAAAGCACATATAACAGCTTCACCATCACCAAAGCCTGGCAGGAGTCAATCAGGAGCAATTCCATGTGGGAAATGGAATTAAAAGTTGAATCAAATTATATCATGTGGAGCTGACCCAGAAGTGCTGATGAGAAAAGGAAACAAGAGACAGCTGTTTTCGCTTCGGATATTGTCCCCACTCTTAAGTGAAAGGGCTTTGAGGAATTCAAGTTTCGCCTGGACCTTTGCTTGGATATCGTTACCACTTGGTACTATCACTCCAATCGGCCAGACAGACCTGTCCTCCTTGGAGCTGTAGAGAATGTCCGGTCCACTGAGGAGGAGAGTCCAGCCAGAGTGTGATTTACTGTCCCACTCGTACTTTACTATTATTGTGCTGCTGTGTTTCATGGCCCCTGAAAAGAAACAGCACAGAGGTGGGGCTCAACCACAGCCTCGGTCAAGGCCACAAGGTGTCCTTCATGAACTTCACCAAGCACACAGACCTGCTCCCTGGATCTGCCAGAGATAGTGTGGGGGACATACAGATCACATAAACTGTATGCCTGTTCAGCAAGGACTTACCTTGGCGGATGAAAGTTTGGCTGGTGTCCAGCAAAATGTCACAACCCTCTACTATCATTCTTTCGATGGCAAGGTTTTTCCTTATGTTCTCAGTATCACTCACTTCGTCATGCATCACCCTGACAGACACAAGGCAGACAGGATGAGATACTAGCAATTGCTCTAGCAGATAAGGAAAGACAACTCTATCTGGGAAGCTCAGTTCTGAACTTGAGCTGATTTAACAGAGACCAAGAGGGAAGTAGACCAGACATCCAGGCTTCAATCAGTCATGGTCCCAAAGGAAAGCCATACTATGCGAGCTGGTTGTAAATGGTAAGTGGGCCAGGCATCAGTGAGTGTCTCAAGAATGCCTACTTTGAATGCAGCAGGAAAGTAACCCAGCATTTTACAACCAGCTCCTTTCATTAATGTTAGAGTGTTATTCCTTGGTGATAAGCTAGAGACTGCTATTTTGTTTTTTCTGTATAAGCTAAATAAGTACTGTTAACAGCAAAAGTTCACTGAGAAATACAGCCTGCACATTCTCCAGCATCTTTTCAAATCTGAATAAAAAATGCAATGGAAAGTCATCTATTTCGTTAAAAAAAAAAAAACACGTATTTCCAAACTTAGCCAAAATACACCTTATCTAAACTAAATAAATTCATTTACCAGGTAAGTTTTTCAGAGATATGCTTTTTTTATTGAAATTGATGCGAATGTTAACTCAGTACTGTCTCGGCGGCTCACATTCCACTTTTAGGTGAATCCAAGAAGTCAGCTGTATCATTTGCTTTCTGTTCCTTGGAATATACCTATTGGGTTTCCACAGAGACTAGCATGCTGCTTTCCCATTCCAACACTTTATAAGTTCTCCGCATACCTGGACAGTTCCTCCAGTTTTGATTTTGCAAACTCCAGACTTTTCCTTTCCACGTGCTCATGGGGTGTGTGAGCCAGGAGTTCATGCAGTGTGATTATATACCTGGGGATCTAAACACAGACAGGGGGTGGGTAGGTGCCATGGGGACTGCCTCTCTAGGGCAGCAGCTATGAGAAACTCACCCCTACTCTGACAGTTCTGGTTGTTTTACAGTTTTACAAAAAATAGAGAGAAAGTGAACCATGCTTCAAACTCCACACATACTAAGAAAGACTGCACCAAGAACACAAGAACAGTCACCATAAATGAAATATTCTAGTACAGAAGAGCCATTGTTTAATGTTTTACATAACCATACATTTTCGAATCAGTTTCTGCAGACTAGTTTATAGGGAAGCAGATATGGCTATCATCAAGCCACTTGAGGCTGTATTTAAGTATTTTATCCCTTATACCATTTCTTAAAAATTGGAATTCTCTTTAACAATTAAAACGGGGAAAGAAATGTTCACTCCTCACATTCTGATCCTCTTTTATCTCAATTCACCTTTTAGTAGTAGAAGTATTCTTTAATTAGGTTACTTATCTGTACTTATGTTGTGAATAGACCATCTATCTGAATTCTGTGAAAGGCACAACTCCAACTAAGTTTTTTAGTAGACCACAGTAAAGATTTAACTCAAGTTCCAGAGAGTCATGTACACCTCCTTTTTTCTTTCTTTTGCTTATAAAACAGAGTCCACTAGAGAACAGGGACTAAGGGTTTAATTTTAAGAAAAGCATGCATGAACAACCACTCCCATTACACCACCAGCTGTGGGCCCAGGAATACTCGGCCTTGTGCCCAATATCCAGTCCTTCAGCAACATAAGGATTAGCTCTCCATAACTAATGAGGTCCAGTATTTTATTCAAGGAAAATGGCAGAGCCATTATAGACCTGAAGAGCCTCCCTTAGTGTCCACTCAAGTAGGGTTCTTCTGCAGGCCTGGGTCTTGCTCTGTACTTGAAAGAACCTGAGACTAGGACAGAAAAGCAGCTTTTCAGTCCTGTGGAGTCCTTCCATTCTGACCTGAGGGGTTAGTAGCTCTGTCTGGTGGATCTGCCTTTGCTGACACGCATGTGACTTTCCCTTTGTAAGATACATGGAGGAGGATATCTGCTTCTTTATTCTATGAACTTCTTACCAAAACAGCCTATAAGACCATTCTATGTGGAGAAGTCTGGGATAACAATGCTACAAATATCCTTTTGCTGGCACACTCCCCATGATGGGAAAAAGTATCCTAAGAATATGTCCACAAAAATTCAAGCAATCAACAGCTAATGTACTCCATTTTTTCTAGCCAAGGGGGCAGAACTAGAAAGCCTGACTACTTACAATGCACTGAAACCCACAAAACTAAGTCCAGGCAATAATTTCGAGATCCTCCTCCATTAGTTCAATCTATTTGAAAGAGCTCACTGGTTAAGATTCAAGTAGATGGAACTGAACTCAATCAATAACTGGTTCCCTTCCATTTGGGGGAACAAATAAATGCTATTTCTGCCTAAATGCAGAAAAATGCAGGCAAAGGAGGCTCTGTCAAGGAGTGGCTGGCTCTGCAAATAGCTCATCTGTGTAGTCAAGAGCTAATTGCAAAGAGGTTCCAAAAAAACTCCTAAGAATCATAGTAGCTATTTAAATGAATCATAGTTCTGCTTTCAATAAAGGAACAAATACTTGTCACTTTATAGACATTAATTAGCTTGCTCTCCAATTTCAGCTAACACCTAGCTAGAGCAGCAAATGAAAGCATCTCACAATGATGATCTTGTAGGGAGGAGGCATCGTGACTCGCTTTCCTATGGATCTTCCATACATATCGATCCAAATAAACAGAACCTCAGCTGAAGGTAGCTTAAATAGTACCAACCAGCTAAATGAAAACTTTAATGACTACATCATTTCTATAGCAAATTGCTTGGTAACCTAGAACTTACTGGTTCTGATAGTTGCAATGGGGAAATAATCCCACTGACTCATCCAAATTCTACAATTTTTCCCTGTCTTTATCATTCAAGGCAACAACTGACTTAATAAAAAAGCTCAAGAAGGTCTAGGGATGGAACTTAATGGCAGAGTGCTTGCCTAGTATGCATGAGGTCATGGGTTCAATCCCCAGTAAAGTTTTTTTTAAGTCCAATAAGAGATAGGGTACAATCATGTATAGAGTACAATCACGTATTACCATCTCTCTTCCATACATACACAAGCTACAGACTAAAAGCTTCCAATTACCTCCCCTCCTCCCTCTGCCCCTGAACCAACCCCTGCCTCCATATTTAAACCCATTAAACTATCTGGGCTTGAACTGGGCATGGTGGCACACACTTTTAATACCAACATTCAGGAGGCAGGGGCAGGTGACATGGAGTCAACTTGGTTTACATAATGAGTTCCAGGTCAGCTATGACTACAGAGTCCCTGTCTCAAAAAACAAAAAAATCTGGGCCAAAGTTCTTCTTGAAGTATAAGAAAAATCATGTTTTCCACTGTTGCCTTAGAGAAAAGGCAAAACTGCCCTGAGGTGTCCAGTCCTACATGGGAAGGAAGGTTGGTACACAGAAGTACTTGGCAATTCAATGTATGCAGAGGAAAGAAGATACATCCTAGACTCTCTGGGGAAGCAAATTTCACATCATTAGTGAATGGACCATGGGAAACAAGGAGAGGATGAACTCAGGAAGAGAAACCTTCAAGCTTCTAGAAAACATACCTCCCCAGTTGTTTAATGTGGTTACTCCTTGGGAGAGACCCCCAAGTGAAGAAGCCAAAGGGAGACACCAAGAAACACAAGGACCATGGGCAGCAAACTCTAAAGATTTCTCCTCTTGGTCTATTCAAAATCTTTCCATTTGTTCATTTCTTACAGTTGGGCTAATCCTGGTTGAAGTCTTTCAGTTTAAAGCTTCTTCCAGGCCAATGGGACTCACTGGCTTCAGCTTTTGGTAAGTCTGGTATGGAAGACAAAACTCAATATTTGATCCCCCAACTCAGCTGTAGGGTTTAGAGTCATTACAGCCCGAGGGTAAGAGTAAGGTTCTAGATTAACAATGGACTCCTTGCAACACATGGCAATCCAATCAAAACTGTCCAAACTAGTGAAATCCCCATGGAATCATAGAGCCAGAAACCCTGGAGATAACCAGAGTTCAACTGCCTCCATGAGAGCCCTGTGACAGTATCAGTACTGTAAGGGAGGCTAAGACATCTGGGCTCCTCAAGACTCACAGCTCCATGTTCTTTCTCTGACGCGATGGGAATACGTTAGTGTGAATCATAGTTCTCAGTCATTGTTACGGGGCTTACTCCTCAAGAGGACAGGAAGGGTAGTGGAAGAGTGCTCCAGCATGTTTAAGAAAACTGAAGACCTTCCTGAGGTTTTGCATTCAACTGTATTGGAGGTGCTTGTCCATGGTACAGGTCAAGCTCTGCCACTGAAAACACTGAAGGAATTACATAGCATGTGAAGGAACCACAGTGCTCTTGCACAGGAGCCAAGCTCCTCTTTAGATGCTCTATGGGTCTTTCATAATTCTACCCCTGTATATTCACTTGACTTGGGGCTACTGCACAGATATAATTTGGGGTACTGAATCATAAGCTAGAGGTAGCTGCTGAGACTTCAACTAGGATCACATAAGAGCAATATATTACATGAAATACTTCACTGTAAATAAAACTTCAAATTCCAAATATGCATAGAATAAAATAAAGGCTTGAAATTTTCTTGTGAAATATTTCTTCAGAGAGGCAAAAAGTTCAATCTAGATCCACAAAAAAAAAAAAAAAACAATAACATTATAAAGTTTCACTACACTTAAGTGGTTTCAAATGCATCCTTCTGGTTTTATAAAATCGGTACTAAACTTCTATGGCCACTTCCAAGGTTTCAGGCAGTACTCTCAAATCTTAAGACAAACAATTATGAACCACAGAAACTTTTTTCTGAGGCTCCAAAATGGGTAGCTGGGGTCAAAGCAGCCTGCTCAGAGGCCAAGTGTTCCACATAACCATAACACACATGATCAGAAGACTCACTTTACCACATGACAGTTTGGAGACTTTGCCAAAAGCCCCATAAATTCCACAACAGGAACACTCAATGTCTTCCCAAAAGAACAAAATTCACAATTTCCAAAAGAGCAGGAGGCTCCATGCACATTTTGGCCTCTGAAGTTCTCACTCCACGATGCTCTTCAAGGCAAAGCCATGGAGACAAAGAATAGCTTACAGGTGCTTGATCTTGAGGGTCTCTCCAGTCCCCAAAGTGAACAACAGAGTATGGCCTGCCTCAGTGAGGGTCACATGATCCAATCCCAATAGCTTCCAGGTCTAGCCAGTACCTTCTGGCTCCGGGGTATCCACAGCTTGTGCAACCACTGAGAAGGCCCTGCTTTGTTCTACAGATCTTCAGCCAAGGGAAACTCAACAGCAAGGCTGATGGGGTGGGAAGAGGGGCTGAAAAACAGAGACTTCCCAGCAGCCATCCAGTCCCCAAACCTTTTATGCAACCAGCATAAACTTGAACATTTGCACAGAATCCTATTTCTGTAAGCCTAATAATATTTTTAAACAGGCTGGAGGTGGAGACACCATGAAAGAGGTCTGTGTGGAATCTTTCTATAAAGAGAAATTGTGCTGCTTAAAAAAATTCATCCCTGAATTATTTGCCTCAAAAATGCCAGTTTCTGGGCTGGAGATGTAGCTCATTGGTTGAGTGCATTCTTAGCATGCTCAAAGCCTTGAGTTTGATCCCCAGCACTGGAAAAAAAAGCTGCAAATGTCCTGTCTCTTATACACACGAGACAGAGAATTGATGGTATGTTTGGTCATCTCAGGGCCATGGTTAAGACAGTGGCAGATGATGTATGATCCTTCACACAACATAGTTTATACCTCACTCTGGTGACATTGAGCTAGAACCAATGATGCATCCCAATTGGTTTACCTGAAACATTGGATAGGTCAAGAATGTTTCCAGCATTCTCCCCTCACAGGCAGGGTTGGCTTCATACTGTTTTAAGAGTTTGTCGAAATCCCTATTTTGCTTGCAGTTAGCAAGTACCTGGAGGCTGTATTGATGATTACGCACAAATTCTTGATAAATGTTCAACATAGGTAACAAAATATCAAACAGATCAGCTGGAAAGAAGAAGTAAACATAGATGATTCCCTTGATACTTGGTGAATTACTACTACAAAATGACTCTCAGAACCAGATGGCACTCATGCATGAGGTCTTAGGTATCATGCTTGAAGGGCAGATTGGGCAGAATGCACCCTGGGGCAGAACGTGACTCCTGCCCAGAAGACCTATGATAAGCCAGGGAAAGCATCAGGAAGTAACTACTGAGGCAGAGCTCAGTACAGCGAGACAGATTCCCAGTGGCTAACGAAGCCCACAGGTCAACAGGGAAGTTCAGGCAGCAAATGTTGAATAACACATAGGTTCCTGTCCTCTAATGCTGGCCATTCAAAAAGAATCCTATACACTTAAAGAATGTACTTACCTAAAATCAAAGTAGGCCAGTTTGCTAACCTCGCCTTTAGTCCTTGATGAAATATTTCATGAAGAAACATGATTGTTTCACTATAAAAAAGAAAAATAATACAATTTAGTGACTGTAAAGGAAGTCCATCAAATGTTTACAGCCTTACAACGTACATGTTATACCAGTCTCATAGGGCTTCCAAACGGTACCCAGTAATAACAAGGACTTTGTACTAGCCTCTATGAAGCAATTTATCTTTCAGTCAGCCTGAGAAACTCAAAGAAGCCTGAGATAAGCCTCAGATACAGGCAGAAAGCACCCAATTGTCATGATTAACGTCATTGTTAAGTGAGTTTTCTACCACTAGGATGCAGCATTTCTCATTACAATCAGGAAATTAAAGCTCTGGCTCTATATCTTCTCACATTTGAGCCTAGAAAAGTCAAGGAAAGGCCTTTCACAGAAGGAAGATGGGGGAAAATCCATAGCAAAAGTTTTGGCAGAACTCTACTATAACTACTCCCAAAACCTTCTGAAAAGAGTTAACCCTCCACAAAGATAGCAAAATGAGGGAAGACTGTGCATAAGTTAGGAATCAAAGGTTCTAAAAGGTTCAAGAAGGAGCATTACCAAAATTAAAATACACTGTTATCTCCTCATGAGAAGGAATGAGTCTTTGGAGGCTTTCCTGAACTAATATATTTGTACAATTAAATATAGAGTTGTTCATCTGAGGAAGACATCTTAGTTTGATATAACTTGAATTCTGTTATAAAAAAAACCTTCAAGAAGTCCTTATTATTTCCAAAGGGGCCATGAAAAAGTAGACATTGCCTGAATGTGATTTGGTTTTCTCTTAAGACATCTCAACTAAGTAATGTTTGTTTTTCAAATATTTCAACCAAACCTATTTTGGCAGTTACTGTAGATTAATGTTTCTATTTTCCTTCTATCTTCCTAGGCAGAGGTGGTTGCAAGCTAAAGCTACAGTTCCCAGACTCCTTTGCAGCTACATCATGAATGTCAATTCAGTTCCATCAATAGACACATGTGGCAATACACAGAAGGCAGAAGAGGCTATCTTCCTGCTGCTGAAGTCATGGATCAGTGACTGTTTGGGGGCCAATTTTGGCACCTAGCCTCAGTGTTCTAGTTTCTAGGAACAAGCCACATGGATCTGAAAGACAGTTGTGGAGGCAAGCTGTTGATGGTAGTTTTGTAACCTCTGGATCACACTTATAGTGCTGTACTCTTAAATTCAATATACAAATGAAAGCTTTAGTCCTCCAGCCATTCCAGCAAATTCTGAGCATTGGAATCCCTTTATTGTCACAGAGATTACTCTTTCCTACACTGAAACCCAACTAATTAATGCATACACCTTCATATTTTGATATAGGTATTAAAACAAATGAAGCAAATTGGGAGAATTACATTTTCTTAAGTATAAACTCGGTGCTGAAATTCAAAACAATTGACCTGCTTGGGCTTATTTCAATGTCAAGGACAAGGGATCCAGTTAAACAACAGCAATGACAACAAACACCTTTAAACACACCTCTTCAGTTCTCCATCAAGGATTAGATGTGATGAAGAATTTCTGGTCTGTGCAGAGTGCTTAGCCCTAAAAAGACACCTATTTCAACCTCTGCCTCCCAAAACTCAGGGATCATTGTGGAAGAGGGGGAGGAAAGATTGCAAGAGCCAGAGGTGGTAGATGACCACAAAGAAAGTTTTCCAGACATCTAAGCAGTTACTCATATGAATTCACAGCAATGGTTACAGCATGCACAAGTCCCATGCAAGTTCAAACCAGACAAAATTTCAGCACAGAGGTATGGAAGTGGGCAAGAAACCCCAACTCTGTCTAAAGAACTGTTGACAACCGATAGTTGCTGGAAAAGGGAACGTAAATTATCTTTCACAGTGTGACACTGGGTAGGTTAACCAGACTCTAGGGGATAGACCCACATCAAAGGGCATTTGCCATTACAATTTAGATTTAATATGCCTAAACATATATATTGGAATATATGAAATTGGGTGGGGGAAGGGAAGGGGGTTTGAATATGATCAAAATATATTGTATGAATTTTCTCAAAAATCAATAAAAATATTAAGAAAAAAGAATTACTAATCTGGTTGAAGAGCTCACAGCCTTGCCTCGTAATCAAGAGACCTAACATTTTCACTTTAACTTGAATTTAAACAACATAGCCCTGGCCTTTCATGTTTTATATCACACAGTCCTATGAAAAAAAATCATCTGGGCACTAAAACCGAAGCAGTATACACTCTGATGGCATCACTATCAGAGAGTGCAGTTCATAGTCCCATCCATGCCATCAGAACTGCCCAGCCTACAGTAGCACTTTCTGTCTTCTCACATCAAAACTGAAACATCATGAAGACAGGGAGCTTCTGCTTTGTCCACTAATTAATCCTCAGCAAAAGGTCACTATAAATATTTATTGCAGAAATAAATTCAATAAAGATTCTCACTTCTTGTCTTAGTCTTCACACTTCCTAAAATCTTCTTCATAAATTGCATGTAAAGACCCAACAATCACTCCATTTCCCTCAGCTTGTAAGAATATCTTCATACACACACACACACACACACACACACCCACTCTATACATATACACCCAATAATCAAAGTAAAACATAACATGTAGAAAGTTAAAATAAAATTGTAAAAAACCACCAAACACTCCCTATCCCTCAGCGTGTAATAATATCTTTATACACACACACACACACACACACACACACACACACACATACACACACACACAGATGACAAGGAAGTATACATCAAATAGAGACAAAACTGAGAAAATGAGATGCCAAGATTCAAGAGAAATGCAAATTCCAACTAATAATACAAGGCGACAATAGCTTTTTTTTACTCTCCATATCATAACTAAGAGATGATTCTGCAAGGCCTAATCTGCTCAAAGTTAAGTAAGAACTTTTTCAAGGAACACAAACAAGTTATCCCCAAATCACTGATGGATGCAGAGACAAACCTGTTGAGGAAAATGCTGCTGACATCGTCGTGGCTGATGGGGGGCTTCTTGGAGCTGGCTGCCATCCTCAGGGGCCGGAGGAAGCCATTGACAAGGATGTAGAGCTGGTGGACGTACTCTGACTCTGCCTCCACCATGGTAAACACAATCTGGTTTCTCTTCCTCATGCTCTCAGCATGAGGAGAACAAATGTAGTCCTGCACGATGGTCTTCCACTTCCTTCTACACAGCCATCCTCGCATAAAGCTCTGAACCTACAGAAAACAGAGTGAAAGGAGCCTCAGGAAGGTGGACTAGCTTCCTTAAGCTTGTAGGTGCATCCATCATGTACCACAAATCACACCACCTCTTCATGAGTTCATCAGTAGTTTCGCTAGTACAATAAATAATTTCAGGCTTTGTCCAAACAGCAGGAAAAATGATTTTAAACATTTCTCTTTTTTCTGAGGTTCACAAATTTCTCCCACAGCTTTGGCTCATTAGGCCTGTCTACAGAGATGCTGGAATATACTATTACATGCTTAGTTAATAATATTTCAAGACAAGGTTAGATTAAAAGTTTATTTTCAATAATAAAGAATCCTTGGAGCTGGAGAGATGACTCAGCACCAGCTGCTCTTGCAGAGGACCTGGGTTGGATTCCCAAACCTACATGGCGGCTAACAACCTTCTAGTTCCAGGGAATCCAATGTCCTCTTCTGGCCTCTGTGGGCATTGTATGCATTTCATGCACTTATACATGAAGACAAAACAGTCATACATATAAAATAAAATAAATAAATAAACTTGTTCAAAAAGAATTGTATATTTTAAATTTAATTGTGGTTAAAATAACATAAAATTTATCATCTTAATGATTTTTTGATTGCCAGAGACTGAATCCAGCACTTTGCACATGCATGCATGCAAGTCCTCTGAAACTGAGTTACATCCCCAGCCCCACCTTAATGACTTTTGTGGAAACAGCTCAGTAGTGTTTGGTGTATTCACAGTTTTGTTTTTCAACAATTTGCAAGACCTCCAAGACCTGTACATGAACAACTCCACAATAATCCCCTCCTCTCCATTTCTGGTAATCATCAGTCTACTTTTTATTTCTGAATTTAATTACTTTAGGAACATTATTTAAGTGGATTCTTACCTTATTTATCTTTTTATTACTGGCTAATTACACTTAATTCAATATCCTCAAGGTTAACCCATGTTGAAGCATGTGCCAGGATTTCTGTTTTTTTGTTTTTGGTCTTTTTGAGACAGAGTCTCCCTGTAGCCCCAGCTGTCCTGGAACTCACTATGTAGACCAGGCTGGCCTTGACCTCGGAGATCCGCCTGCCTCTGCATCCCAAGCACTGGGATTAAAGGCATGCGCCACCACGCCCAGCAGATTTCTGTATTTTTAAGGATAAACAATATTACACTATATATATATATATATATATATGAGTTTTTTTCTGTTCAACTTTTGATGAACATTTTTGTTGTTTCCACCGCTTAAGCTATTGCTATTGAACACGGGTATACAAATATCTCCTCAAGATCCTGATCCTGTCTTTACTTCCTTTGGAACAGACTCAGAAAGAAGATTATTGCAAAATATAGAATCAGAATCTTTTAAATTTTCTGAAGAAACACTATACTCTATTCATTCAGGTTTATTTACCATTTTACAATCTGTGTCACATAGTCATCCTAATTTCTCCTTGCAAAATGTGCCGTTCTCTTCCTGTTGTTCTTTATAGTGGCTATCCTAAGGGGTGGTGGTTATATCTCATTGTGGGTTTGACTTACATTTCTCTGAATCTCGGTGATATTTTCATATGCTTGCTGATCATTGCTGGAACATCTTTCTCAATGGTCTATTCAAGTCGTTTGCCCATTTTAAATCAGCTTATCTGACTTTTCTTGTTGATGTTGAGTTTTGTTTTGCCTTGCTTTTTAGGCTTGAAAATATAAGTGTTGAAATCAGCTCATCCAGTCACAACTGTAGATATGAAACCAAACTTCCAGCTAAGTTTAAACTTTCAGGAGAGCTGTGACCAGAGTCAGTATTCTTTTACTGGTCTTTTTGGAATTTTAAGAACTCTTTTCAGGGGCTAAAGAGATGGCTCAATGGTTAGGAGTACCAGCTGCTCTTGCAGAGGACCCAGGTTCAGTTCCCAGTACCCATATGGCAGCTAACAACCATCTTTAACTCATTCTAAGGGATCTGATACCCTCTTCTGGCCTCCACAGGTATTGCACACGACACATGTGCTCTTATATACATGGAAGAAGGCATTCACACACACACACATTAAAAAAATAAATAAAAGAATTATTTTCTGATATATGGGAAAGACATACATGAATCATATTCAATGGTGAATATTTTATGAAAATATGAAATACAGTTGAATATGAAATCTCTTTAGTAGAAACATATATAGCCCTTAAAATAGATCTGAATTTCCTGGGCATGATACAAAAAGTAACAGGTAACTCTGGAAAAGCACACTGCTCAATGTGTTTTAGGCAATCATCACATACTTGCTGATTATCCTTAAAGTGTCCAGGTAACTGTGAGGCACTGAGAAGACAGTTACATATCATATTCCTTCACCCAAAGGCTCTGCCACTAATCAGCAGGGTGATCTTGAATTCTCATCCTGTTTCCTCAGAATTGACCCGAAAATAATAAATCCTCTCTAAATATAAAATTTATATGATAATTAGTTAAGATGTAGCATTTTCAATGTGACAGGTTCAGGAAGAAAGCAGATTTCAGATTCATATATTCATGTATGCATTAATTCACTACCCTTTTTAATACCATTGGTATCTATTAAACATTTTCTTATTTTGTTTCAATTTTTTCCATGTGATCTAAAGCAAAAACTCTGCAAAGTTTAAGATTTTCTCATATACCTTCGAATTCTGACATGGTAGCATCGATTTTCATACTGTTGTTAAAGTTGCTATACTCAAACAATAGTAATTACACACAAATAGAATTATGTGAGGAAATTCTACACATAGTGTTTTGAAAATTCTATGAGAAATTTCCTGTAAATTATAAGCAATTTCAAATTGTGATCTTTAGAAGTTAAAAGATTACATTTTGCCAAGATCAAAAGTGATTAATTTGTAAGCATTCCTTTCCACAGTCATTTGTTTGGTTTGGGACATAAAGAACAATAAAGTTAATCCTGAAACCTATTAACAAGTTCAAAACAGGTTTAAATGTTTCTTCTATTAAGAATCACAAAGGGCTGGGAGTGGCAGCACATTCCATTAATCCCAACACTGTAAGGCAGGAGCAGGCAGAACCCTAAGATCAAGGCCAGCCTGGTCTACATTGAGAGTTCCAGGCCAGCTGGGGCTACAGAAGGACCTTGTCTCAAACAAACAAACAATCACGGAGGTAGAAAACTAAATCTTCTTATTCTATTTAAAATAAGAACTTTTTTTAAAAAATCAACTCAATAAAAATCTGCATTAAGTAAGTTCTTTCCATGCACTTTGGCAGATGTTCTCTGCCAAATAACAGCTGGCTCACTTATTTACCAACACATGAGCTTCTATAACAAAACTGAAAATTGGCTATTATTAATATCTTTGTTTATATGCAACCACACACTATTAAAAGAAGAGCAATATAATTAATCTTGGAACATAACATAAACCAGATTCAAATAAATGATTCTAATGCTTAAAAAATAGTTTCATTTTACTTTTTCATTTCTTGGAAATTAAAAATATTCAACCAGAGAATCATTTATATTCCATATTCTGAATATTTGGTTAAAGCTTTGCTAGCAGCTAAAGGAAAATAATGATTTGATACAGAAAAACAAGAATAAGAAAAAATTAAAGAAATAAAGATTTGAAGCTTCATGTAGTACTAACAAAGCTGGGTGCTATACATGACACAGTTAAGAACATGGAGTTATAACCTCAGTAACATAACTCACAACGCAGGGGAGCAGCATGTGTGCCAGTGTCTGGGTCCTTGCAGAGTTAAACAACTGTGACAGTAAAGTGAAGAGCTCTGCTGCTTATGTGGGTGTTAGACAGGAGCCAACACTAAGATATGTGTCTTCATCCAGCTCTCTCACATGTCCCAAACACATCTCCCAAACATCACTATTAACATTTAAAAGAAATATTTTTAATCTACTTTTTATTTTATGTGTGTAAAACATGCATGCATATAAGTGCACCCAAGTCATGCAATGCCTGCAGAGACCAGAAGAGGGCATCAGATCCCCCGGAACTGGAGTTACAGATGGTTATTGGCTGCCATGTGGGTGCTGGGGACCAGACTGGGGTCCTTTGCAAGAGCAGCCAGTGCTCTTAATCACTGAGCCATTTCTCCAGGCTGCTAAGAAGTAAATGTTCCATTATAAGGAACATCTCTGAAATATAATTTTTAGAAATGCTCTTCAACTATGAAAGCAACACAAAATCAGGAGATTTAGCAGCACCGTCTTAGCCCAACTGGAGAACACCATTGTCTTCACGTGTGGCTGTAGCATTCTTCCAAGAGTCCAAAGAGGACTTTCAGAACTGAGAACTCTCCAGGGCAGCTATGTCCGGATCACAGTGAAGGACCAGCCTGGGAGCCATCAGCACAGAAACATGAGAGCTGTTCCCAGCTTTGAAACACAGCAACAAAGCCATCATCCCAAAACAGACAACCAGTCGCCTAGTTCCCAGATGCCTCCCACCTCCTACCTTTTTTATCTTCTTGATATCTGGATCCTCGTCCTCTTGGTTGCTTTGGTAAGGGCGCATCCGTTCCTTGGTTTTATTAAGGGCGACAATCTATAACATCAAAACAGTCCGTTTCATGATTTGGGAAATAGAGGTATACTGTAGAAATCTGCCTATGAAGGTGGTACACAGAGACTTTCAGGGAACTTTCATCTGTGTGTGCTTTTTCCTCCTTTGCCAGAGGTGAAGGGAATATGAACTCCGTGTCAAGCCTGGAATTTCCAGTGCTGACAAGAAGTGATATGAAATGTGTGAACTGTGGTCTGTATGTGGAGAAATATTAGTCCAGAATTTGGCCCTGGCCGACCAGGCCAGTGTCTCCTCAGGACCTCAGAGACAAGTTGGCTCCCTTGCCTGAAGTGGCTGCCATGATGCCTAGTGGTCTCCAAAGACAGGCCACTCAGCTCCAAGCCATGGTAATCAGACTCTGGTCTTCTAAGTAGGCATCCCACCATTCTCAGGTACCTCCTTGCGAAAATGGTAGCTACAAGGGAACCCCAGAGGCCTGGGACCGATTGATGCCAGCTGAAAGGACTCTTCAGAAGAGACAAAAAGACTGCGTTAAGCTGAGTCTTTCCATGCATATCCAGCCTCATTTTGTGATCTGTGTTGGGGGATTTAAAACTAAGCAGTCACTCCCTGCACAGCAGTACAAGTCTCTGGTTTACCCTCGGACATGGCTCAGATAAGCCCAAGCATTTTTGCAGATCTACTAACAAGCTGACACTGAGCAGGCTAGGCCACAATCACCTCCTGTGGCCTGTCTTTGGAGCTTGTCCTCCAAACCTGATACATCTCACAGCCATTTTCTGGGAAGGAAGTAGAAAAATAAAAGAGTGGGAAATAAATTCTGGCTCCTGTCAAGTGGCCACAGGGAACATACCTGCTACTGACAGCTTTTCCCTGCAATCTATACTCAAATTAAACTAGAGCATAATGAAGACAGATAAGCACACACAAATAAATATGGGAGCCTTGGTGCCGTGTTCCTCTCATGGTATAAATACTAACCTGCTTCCCTCGGCAGACAAGCATCTGCTGTAGTGTGCCGAGGCAAGGAAAGAACACGATAATTTTGTTTTAAATTACAGTGCCTGATACAGTCTTTTAAAATGCAGGTTTGTTATGTTTTCTGTTGCTGTTTTCACTGTATCAGCTATTGGGGTTGAATGGGAAGCTGACAGTTCTAATGATATGCTGAGCACAGGTGGCAACTCATCCCCAGAGGAGCTTTCACATCCGGATAGAACCAGCTTTGCCAAGCTTGGTACTCTAGAGGTGACGTACCAGGGAGCAGGAGGCAGAAACCCCTCATAGAATTCAGAGTGAGCCTTAGAGGAAGGTATAAGGAAATGCAGAGAAAAATGCTGCCTGGGGACAGTAAAAATGGCAAGGAAGTCGTGGAGCACACGACCACTTCGTTTCTTTTCGCCCTGCTGCCTTCTTTGAATCTAAGATACTAAGATGCCTCAGGTTAGAATGAGGATAATCTCTACATTCCTCTACATTCTTCCTCCATCCTTTGCTTATTGCTCACTTCCTGTAAGAATTGACAGGACAGCAGAGAAAGGTCTCTGTACAGATGGAGACCTTGGGCAGGAGGAGGACCTAGACACAGCAATATGGCAAAAGGCTCAAAACCACCTGTATTCTCCCTTGACAGCAGCCTCTGAGGTGCACCAGAAGTGAACATTATAGAAGAGGGGCCAGAGGGGAGGCGAACAGTATAAATTCTGCAGGGGGAAAAACTAGACCTTTTAGGTTTGAAGAAATAAAAGTGTTTCTGAATTCTGGTTCTTCTTTGATTTTCATTTTGGAATTTAACTTAAGTCACGGCAGACACACAGTTATTACTCCAAGACACTATCTGAAGACAGCCAAATATATTTTGTATTTCTGATTTTTTGCACATTCGGGGCACAAATAATAATAAATAAAATACCATGCTATCATGGTGGTATAGCCCAGCAGTACATATACCTAACCCTAAAGTATACAATAGATCAGTAGCCCAGCCACATATCCCTTGATGACAGAAGAAATCAGTCTAGGATTAAACTTTTTGTCCTGGATATAGGACAGATAATCATGAGGAAATGAGTAGACAGGAAACAATGAAACAGAATCTTCAACTGGAAATACCTCGGATTTAAGCCTTTCGATTTCTGTATCTTGATCTTCAAGTTGATGCCGAAGTTGGTTAGCTGCAATTTTTTCTGTCTCTACGATCTGAACTAGATGAATGTACTTCTGCATTAACACTTCCCTCTCAATCAAAATGTCTGCATAACTTAGAAGAAAATTGCACAGTTAGTCGCTGACATATTGTCCTGCTGTAGTTTCACACAGACCAGTGCACATGCATTTAAAGAACAACCCATGAACATTGTTTGGCTAACTCTACCTTACACAAGCACTAACTTTCAACATTTGGCATAGAATTTCGATATTATCACTTTACATGTTGTTTAAGAATCCATTTAATGATGCCCACTACCCACAATTTTACCACGTGAAGTGAGAAAAATGCGAAGGGAGTCAGAATCACTTTAATGTGAAAGTCCTCTGTCTTCTTATAAAAAGAAACTGAGGCCTTTTGAATTGATATCCCATCGCTTCCAGGGTGTTCTTTGAAGTATTTCATCTGGTAAAGCATTAACCAGTCAAAATGGCCCTTCTGCCAACCAGGATGAATTCTGCAACCATAACAAGCACTGCTCAGAACTGTCATGACTGCAGGTGACCGCCAGCTCTCTCTAGGAGTCTAAGATCATTTACTACTCTCTTCCTAAAACAGCAGAAGCCACATCCATAGCAGAAACAACTTAGGTTCTTTATGCTCTGACTCCATCAGCCTAACCTCTGTCCATGTCTCTGGTTAAGCCTGGTAAAGACAAACCTACTCTGGGGTTTTTATTGGTGATGCAGTCTTGAGGCATCTAAAATTTTCCTCCAGATCTTCTTGTACACTTTAGGGTGGTAAGAGGCATGTCCTTCTCTTCATTCATAAAATATTTTCTAAGTAGCATTATAATAATTAATAGTAGACACTATTTATTGAGTGTATTGGATTATCATACATTATCTCATTCTCCCCACCCAACAATGCAGAAGACAGGGTTTTGGGTCTGAACCAATAGAAAAAGAATTTGGTTCTCACAGAATGCATTATTGGCCTCGGGTCATACAGCTAATAAGTGGCAGTGCTAGGATTCAAATCAAAGTCTATCTGACCCAAAGTCTATGTTCTTGGAGGAGAAATAGCTATTTGGAGGTTTTTGTCAAATCTTTAGGCTGCTTGCCTTTTCATTGGAACCTTGACCACTGAAGCTATGTTTATACCACAGCCCACCCCCAACAAGGCCATGGTGAACTAGCCTGGTCCAAGCTACACCAATAGATTTTTGCTTCATAGAATCAGAAATTGTGCCACTGCCCTGTTTACTTGAACTGAGATGATATGAACCTAGAAACTTAGACGGCCATTGCTGTGCAGCCCTATTTGACCACATCTTCCCAAAGCAGATGAAGGAAGCTTGATGAGAAAGAAGAGAATAGGCAGGTATTCAGAAAAACAGGCGCGAAGCAGCAGAACACCTGAGGCAGGAAGGGAATAGCTATCTGGTTCCCGCAGGCTTTTGCAACATCTTAGTACAATTTTTCCCTGGAGTTCAGTGACATGTTGTAGTTTCCTTCTAATAAATTCTCTTTCAAGCCTAACCTGTTTGAAATAGCACTATGGTACTTAGAACTGAAAAAAAAAAAAGTCTTAGGACAATGCTAAAGTCACAACTTTAGTTCAATCATCTCAACTCCCTCAGCACTTACATCACCATGCTAGAGTGTTGGAGAAGAACATGGCGTCACCAACATTTTCAAGTCACTTGTTCTAAGAAATTGCCCTAAGGACATAGAAAAAGAGCTATGTAAGTATAACTGAGGAGAAAAGGAGAGAAAAGAGGACAGTCTTCAAAGAGGGATCCTTTGGGATGCTCTGAAGGAGAAAAATAATAGAACATTAGAAAAGGAATTATAACAAAAAATTCTACCCTTTTCTTATCATCATCTTATTAGAAATATGCTAAACTGATGACAATTGTATTAGATCAGCATGAGGTAGCAGAGCAGTGTTTTGTTTTAGTCTTTATAAAAGGGAAAATAGAGAAAAGAAAAAAGGCAAGCAGAGCGTGAAACTGTAGGATGGACTCACACCTGCAGGCTCACAGCTGCCACTTCCTGTCCTTCATTTCCAAGGTTCCATTCAAATGTCAGGAAAACCTGTTTTTTGTTTAAGGAATGAAACTATAACAGCTTTACAAAACAGGAAAATGTGCCATTAACAGACCAAGTATTTTATGAAATCTCATGAAGAGAAAAGCTGCATAATTTGCTTGGTGGGGAAACAAGAGGAGAGGAAATCAGCAGAACCTTGCATGTGGTGGTGGCGATCACCAAGAGTACCCCTGAGGAGCACCGAGCACAGTATCAACAAAGGCAAAGGACAGATGTCAGTGTGGGGCCATGGAGAAGGGCCAGCAGAGCATCAGGGAATTGGGCTCCTCCTCCAAATCCCCCAGGGTATAGTCCATGGGTCTACTCTCTACACCTAAAGAAAACTGGACTCGGGCTGGAGAGATGGCTCTCCAGCTGCTCTTGCAGAGGACCCAGGTTCAATTTCCAGCACCCACATGGTGGCTAACAACTATCTATAACTTCAGTTCCAGGGGAATCCAACGCCTTCTTCTGACTCCGCAGGCATTGCACAACAGGGGTGCACTTATACACATGCAGGCAATACACTCATACACATAAAATAAAAATAATAAATACAATTTTTTTAAAAAAAGCTGGACTTGAAAGCTGGACTCAGAGAACAGAACTTGGGTTAGTTCAGACATTCACTGTAAACAGAGGAAGAACCAAAAAAGGGAAAGAATCCAGAGAGCCTACAAGTGAAATACTCTGGAGTCTTTTCCTGTTGCAGTACAGATTACCACAAGCGCAGTGGTTTAAAACAAGACATTTATTATGAAATATGGCAAAGTGATGGATGGAACTTCCAAGATTAGTTCACAAAAGACTCTGGCTTCCATCTCATTTGCCTTCTCTTGCTGTCTTGCTCAGAGGGAAGCCAAGTGCCTGGCTGTGAGCTGCTCTATCCAGAGGCTCATCATAAACAGAAACTGAGAGAAATCTCTCATCAACACTCATCTAGAGACTCAATTCAGTACAACAGCCCATAAGTAAAACCAGCCAGCAGCTTCAAGATGGATAAAACAGCAGACCCTACCCAGCTATGCGTCCAGATGAGACCTCAGACTTGGCCAACACCTTGATGGTAGCTTGTGAGAATCTTCTGGGCAGAGGCTCTCATTTAAGCCTTGCCTGGACACCTGGCCTATAGAAACAGCAGTGTATAATAAATTCCTTATTGTGTTAGTCATTGTGGAGTAAACTGTTAAGCAGAAATAGCAAAAATAGCTCCAAATGAACAAACAGAAAAGCTGTCACAAGAAGCAAGGGTCATTCAACAACTGAGACTTATTATCTTCAGGGATAGAAAGGATATTAAGAACCATAAAGCAAAAAGAGACTGCTATGGAAATGAAACAATCAGATAACAAAAGGAAGACTTGGAAACAAAACATAATTGTTAAAATCTTATAGGTCAATGGATACACTAGCCTATAAATCAGGCATAGCTGGAAACTAAGCAGAATGGTCATAAATAAAATAATAATACACAGGTTATCTACAGGAAGTGAGAATCAAGGAGAGAGTGTTCACTATGTGTAATTATTCATTTGCTGTGGGATCAAACAGCAAGTGTAATACTTTGGTACATAACATTGCTGTATCCACTGGGTAGATGCTTCTTCCTGCATTTCTTTAAATTAAAATGAATTCACAGCACATTTTCATGGGGTGGGGGCAGTGTGCTGTTTCAACACATGAATCAGTGTGAGTCAAATCAGGGTAATTAGCACTTCCTTCTTATCACTTCTCATGCTTAAAGCCTTTGAGTTCCTCCCTTCCAGATCTTGTACTGTGAACTATCATCATCCCACTGTGCTGTGGAACCCCACCTCTTATGTGATGATCCAGCCTCCCTACTGGATTTATAATTTTCAGAATCTACCCATGGCAAAATGCAGGAGCTTAACTGAATTTAGGGGACAGAAAATAGACGTTTAGAACTTTATAAAGAGATAGTAAATAATTCAAAAAGCAATAAGACCTCAGTACTAGAGAAGAGAAAAAAATACTGATGTTACTTATTTGTTCCATGCATTAGGTGTTAAAAAGGTCATAAGTAATAGTCCTGATGCATAGAGTAAAGCAATGTTTCTTTGCATGTTCTTGTGAATTCAAACTGATCCTGTGACTAAAAGACATTACTGCGTAGTGTGTGTTGAGGAACTATTCAAAGCACTGGACACAGAAGTAAACAAAATAGGAGGGGGAAACCTACCTGTATCCTCATGGAACTTTCATGGTAGGTAATATAAAACTAATAAGAAATACAAGTGACATGTGATTGGTCCTGAAGAGAAATAAAGGTAAAGGTGAGTGAGAAGCAGGACAACAGGATTACAGTTTCAACCCAGGTGTAGGATGCTCTCACTAGGAAGCTGGTCCTATCAGAATGAGGCAGAGGGATCCCTAAGTGCAAAGCCTGGTGATGGGCTGGGCCTGACCTGATGAAGAAAATGACAAGGTAAGAGGGTTTCCAGAAGGTGGGTGCAGGAGCACTAGAAGAGGGAACGGGATGCTAAAGCAGGCAGACCTAATCTGGAATCTTGGGTTTTCCTTCCCCTGTGACATTTGAGCTTGGACTGCAAAATGTGACAATATTTGTCTTCTTAACAAGATCATTTTGGCTGTTGTTATGGGAAAAAGACAGTGGTAGGGAAGGCAGCATATCAGAAGGGGGGACAGCTGGAGGATACACTGTAATAATCCAGGAAAAATGTTAAACACTAGCCGAGCATCTGGCACAATGAGCCTTGGCACAGAGAAGCTATTCAGAAAAGTCACTGTCACATGAAAAGTTGTTTAATATATTTTTTTTTACATGGCTTACCTTTTTCCGTGTAGTAATTTTCAAACCATGCAACTTGCTCAACTGGGGCTCTTTGCTATGCTGCCCTACTTTTACTGGGGTGACCCTTCAACTTCATCTCACAAAGCTTCTGTGTAAACCCCACTAGAAAACAAATGTCCATTCCAAAGCCAGATCAAGTTTGAATGCTCAGCTTCTTCAACGTCTTTCTGAGCTCTAGTGTTTCT